TGCTCCCTGAAACCTCTCTGAAGGGGCCAGGTTCTGGCGCTGGTCCCTGGTAAGTCTGAACTCCGTAGCTAACGTCCCGGTCTAACATAAAATACATTAGCCCGATAAGCTCCAAGGAGCCGTAGGGGCTCCCCACAGAAAGAAAGGCGTCTGTTGAAGGTGAAGAACCCTGATGAAGGTAAGGTGAACCCCGTGTATCCACGAGCCGTTTAGATCTTGCATTGTACTCCAAAACTGCATATGCAGTGATGCACACTTTTGCGTCAGTTACTCAAAACTTCATATGCAGAGTTGAGCAGTTTAACCCTTAAACTGCGCATGGCATATATATACGCCATGAGTAACATGTCCCACGGTGCACATACCTGGTTGATACCTGGTTGATGGGGTTCTGGGAGTTTTTCTACTCCCCAAGCCCGGCCCGAGGCCAGGCTTGACTTGTGAGAGTTTGGTCCACTAGGCTGTTGCTTGGAGCGGCCCGCAGGCCCACATATTCACCACAACCCGGTTGGTCCGGCACTCCTTGGAGGAATAAATCTAGTTTCCTCTTGAAAATGTCCACGATTGTTCCGGCAATATTTCTTATGCTTGCTGGGAGGACGTTGAACAACCGTGGACCTCTGATGTTTATACAGTGTTCTCTGATTGTGCCTATGGCACCTCTGCTCTTCACTGGTTCTATTCTACATTTATACACATACACATTTATACATATATACATGGCGTATATATACGCCATAGGGTGCCAGGCATGATTCAAATGGCCCGCGGCTACACAGGGTTCACATTAGTTTCCTCAGGGCTTTTGTAAACAGACGCCATTTTTTTTTTAAATCGTGAGCAATATTCTCCGGTGTGAGAGGCACAGTACTGTTGGAGCAACCAAGGCTGGCGCACGCAGCATGAGTAAACGGCATTGCTGTTCAGCTTGTGACCACAGCTTTGCCGAAAAATGTCAAAATAAATATATAACTGCTATTATTTAGCAATGACAATATTACAGAGGACCCCTGACTGTGATAAAAATGACCAAGATTGTGATAATAGCAGGATAGATTGTTGTGATAATTAGCTCTGTGGAAGGAGTGATGCTGTAGGATGGAGGGAGATAGCATCGTTTACTGACTTGTGGCCACCTGTTATTGTCTGCATTCACCATACCAGGTCAGTGGTTCTCTATGGTGAACACAAATATAGATACTTCTATATAATGTGTGTATTAGTGTAATAACAGCAAAAGGATTATGTTGGGAGGAGCCATTTGGGTGACGGAGGTGACTCCGTCTGCACGATTTGTCAGCCCCCACAGGGGCTGTGTGAGGGTGGCCACTATGCTCTTTGGGCACTCTACAAGCTTAGATGTACAGTTACGGTGCATACAACATGCAAATACTATATTTAATATGTGTATATAGTGTAATAACACTGCAAACAGTATTGTTGGGGGAGAAAGTTTAGTGTGTGTGACCTTGAGTGAGGGAGCCGCCAGTTGACTGTGTGTGTTGTGATGGCTCTTAGTGCCTGAACTAACTTTATCAGCTTAGTTGTACAGTTGTGTTGAACAAAATATGTAGATACTTATATATAACATCTGTATATTGTGAATAAAGTATAAAACAGGATGGCAGGAGGAGAAATTGGGCGAGTGAGGCGTTGTTGAGGAAGTGAGTGGCAACGAGTGGCTGGCTGCTGTGTGGCCGTCACTCCTCGTTGCTCTTCGACTCATAATACCAACTTAGTGGTTCGTTATGGTGACCAAAACATGCAGATACTTATATATAACCTGTGAATAGAGTGTAATAACAGCAAAACTATTTGTTTATTGTTTTATGAACATAATAATTGAATCACTAATAATGCACACTATACTTTTGAGTATAGCGATGATTCACCTCTTAATATATAAATATATCACACTACATACTATTGAGTAATATTACTGCAAAAAACTAAGAAAAAATAAATCAGAGACATTGAAATAATTAGGTGATAATATCTTTGTGGCAACTCTCACCTGTCAGCTCGGGTGACGCTGACCGGATCTGACGACCGCTCTGTCAACGCTCACTTTTTGCCAGACTTCCTCGGTCTATTACACCCAAAATATGTCATCTACGATTTTTTTCCAGTGCTCAGGGAACACAAATTAACATGTTTGGACTAAATAATTTTTTAGATTTTTTTTTCTTGCCCACAGGGGTGTAAATCTTCTCAGGACCCCTTAGCAGCTTCAGGGTTAACCCTTCAATTGCGCATTGCATCATATGATGCTTTGACCGACTTGCAGTAAATTGCGCATCGCATCATGTGATGCTTTGGAGTACTATGCAAGATTTAAACGGCCCGCGGATACACGGGGTTCACCACACCTTCATCAGGGCTCTTGTAAACAGACGCCATTTTTTAAAAAAATCGTGGGCCAAACTCCCAGATGTTAGGGGCCTCAGTATTGAGTGAGCAACCAAGCCTGACGCACGCAGCATGAACTCACAGCACTGCTGTTCAGCTTGTGACCACAGCATCGCCTAAAAATGCCATAATATTCTTCTTCATGCTATTATGTAGCGATGATATTATTACAAAAGACCCCTGACTGTGATAAAACTGACCAGGGTTCTGATAATAGCAGGATTGTGGTGATATTTAGCGCTGTGCGCCATGGAGGGAGGAGTAATGCTGTGGGAGGGAGGGTGGTGGCGATGTCTTCTGACTGTGTGTGGCCACCTTTTATTGACTGCACTCACCATACCAGCTTAGTGGTTCGCTATGGTGAACACAAATGTAGATACTTATATATAACGTGTGTATAGTGTGAGATAACAGCGAGAGTAGGAGGTTGGGAGCCGCCATTTTGGTGAGGGAGGAGCATTGTCTGCACGACTTACCATGTTATTTACTGATGACCACGATGGTCTTTGGGCACCATACCAGTTTACTTGTACAAGTATGGTGAATAAAACAGGTAGATATTTATATATAATGTGTGTATATAGCGTAATAGCACCACAAACAGTATTGTTGCAGGAGAAATATTAGTGCGTCTGGCCTTGAGGGCGGCCGCCACCAGCTGACTGTGTGAGTAGCTATGTCTCTGTGCCTTTACTCACCATACAAGCTTAGATGTACAGTTATGGTGAACAAAATATGCAAATACTTATATATAACCTGTGTATATAGTGTAATAACCGACAAAGTATTTGTTCACTGTTTGATGAACATAATTGAATCAACAATATGCACACCATATTTTTGAGTACAGCGATGATTCACTCCTTTTATTATATAAATATATCACACTACACATTATTGAATAATATTACAGCAAAAAAACTACGAAAAATCAATCAGAGACATTGAAATAATTAGGTAATTATCTCTTTGTGGCAACTCCGGCCTGACAGCTGGCGATCAACAGACCGCCTGGGACGCATGCTGAGTCAGCGCCTATTTTTTGCCAGAATTCCCCGCCCTATAGCGGGCAATATATGCTACTTACGATTTTTTATTATTTTCCCGTGATCAGTGAACACAAATTAACAGGTTAGGAAGAAAAAATAATTTTTTTTTTTTTTTTGGTATGCGCCTGTGGGTGTCAAATGGTATATAGCTATGCGCCATTTAAGGGTTAAGGGCTTCAAGCCAGTTTCGAGTAAACACTTTGATTTGAATGAATCATTTGAGCACTTGTTTGGCTGTCTCGGTGCTTCATTTTTATGAACTTTGCAGTTGTCTGAATGGCTTCGCTGACTATTTGCATGCTTTTCCAGTGCAGGTGACGGTAATAATCTCCAGCTTCTTGTATCTCTGGAAGGGAAAGGGAAGCCAGGCTACGGTTCCTGGTTGACCAAACATGACACCTAGGACTGATACAAACCAGAAGTGGGAAGGGAGGGGAGGGGATTATCTGGGGAAAAGCGCCAAGCCATTACTACTATATAGCACTTGGGAGGGGTCAGGATATGGATAAGGGATGGGACGAGGGAAAGGAATGGTGCCCAACCACTTGGACGGTAGGGGATTGAACATCGACCTGTATGAAGCGAGACCTCCACTCTACTGTCCAGTCCAAGTGGTTGGGCACTAGTAGTGGGAAGCTATTTCAAGGAGATGGCTTCAGGGAGCCACCAAGGGTCTCATCCCTAAAAGTTAAGTGAAACAAATTCATGTTTTCTATTTTTTGTGTACTTAGAATTTAAATGAATCTTAGAATTAGATTCCGCTATACTGTATTTGAAACTGAAAAATTTATGATTAATCTAATGTATATCCATAAAATATAATATCTGCCTGTCTGTCCAAAGCAAAACAAATACTTGGAGTTAGCCATACTCAACCTTTCAAGATGACACATATGGGGATATGTGAGCACCATAGGCCAGTCAGAGTTGACCCCCATTGCTGCCATTTAAAAATTATCAGCATCTATGGCAACATCATGCAATTCCCATGAAGCTTAAAATTAGGGATATGTTTCCAGAGGAGAGGGGAAGATCGGGAGAGAAGGAGATCAGGGGGAGAGGGAAGGATGGGGGGGAAAGATTGGGAGGGTGGGTAAGGGGAGGAGGGAAGAGGAGGGATGTGGGGAAGAGAGGGAATGTTGGGGGCGACAGGAAGAGAAATGAGAGAGAGGGAAGGATATTTAGTCTTCATATTGTCAGCCACGTTATTGTGACCTTATCATCTGCATAGGGGTAAGGAGGAAGAGCAAGGGTAAAGGGAGAGAGGGTGGGGAAGGGGGGAGGCATAGGGAAAGGAGGAAGAGCATGGGTAAAGGGAGAGAGGGTGGGGAATGGGGGAGGCATAGGGAAAGGCGGAAGAGCATGGGTAAAGGGAGAGAGGGAGGGGAAGGGGGGAGGCATAGGGAAAGGAGGCAGAGCATGGGTAAAGGAAGAGAGGGAGGGGGAAGGGGGAAGGCATAGGGAAAGAAGAAAAAGGGAGGGGCAGAGGGGATGGAAAGTGTGTCCTGGGCACAGCCAGGTACTGCATTTGTATTATCTCACCTTGTCTCCAGAAGGACTAAGCCAGATGCCTTTCAATACTGATCCAAATTCACCATTCCCCAGACATGGTCCAATACTAAGATGATTGATATCAATTTCACCAAATACTTCATCTGTCCGGTTCCCATCCATTGTTGGGCTGCTGCCGCTGACATTTGTGGTATCTGTTGAGCTGCTACTGATAGTCAGACTCTGATGAAGAAAACAAATAAATATAGCAATAAAATAAAAAAATAAAAAATCAGCATTGAATGTAATGAAACACCATTTTCTGGGTGAGCCCCGGAGGCTTCCTGGAGCTTATTGGGCTAATGTATGTTATATTAAACCGGGACATTAGTTATGGAGTTCAGACCTACCAGGGACCATGAGCCAGAACCTGGCCCCTTCAGAGAGGTTTCAGGGAGCAATGGCCCTGGAAACCCCCCCCTGTGGTTGGAGGTTTTCCTTATCTGCCATTGACCGGGCTTAGGAACCCAGAAAGGTAGGCATAACACAACAAACCCCATATGGTAAGAAACTAAAACAAAAAAACAAACAGAGGTAGAAACTCCCTACAATCCCCAAAAAACAAGCAAACCTAACACACTACTGCTCATCCACGCAGCCCTCACCACACTGGCTGCATAACACTCCAGTTCAGAAGCTAAGCTTTAACAAACGCGAAAAAAAATCCCGACCGGTGGGAGGGAGGGAGGGTTCCTAGGGAGCCTCTGGGGCTCACCCAGAAAATGGTGTTTCATTACATTCAATGCTGATTTTCTGAGGGGAGCCCCTATGGCTCCCTGGAGCTTCATACCCAAAGAGAAGTTAAAGAAAGGGCTGACCCGGGAAGCGGCCGCCACAAACTCCGCAATGCGAAGTCGAGACAACAGGCTGCAACCCGCGACCGAAAGCAACACAAGAATGCCCAGGAGCAGACACGTTCACAAAATAACGGGCGGCCAGGAACCTGTGCATCCTTCAAATCCCCACTCCCAAAATGAGCCCAAGACATGTTACCAAACACGGCAGCGAAAGGTGCAAATGTCCGAACGGCACGGGCGCAAGGAAAGACGGCAGGCTGACTGGACTGAATAACCCTGCGGTCAACCTGGGAGACCCAAGCCCTGGAACAGGGAACGAGGGAAACCAGATCAACCCAAAGCGCATCCCCAACCACGGCATGCAGGTAACGGCAAAGAGCCGCAACTGGACACAACACATGACGCACCCCCAGCCGAACCAACCAAGCATCAATAACCCAAGGACCCCTCCGGAAAGCAGCTATCTCGGCCTTCGCCAGAAAAGATGGAGAAAGCTGCAAACATACAAACATACCAGCAGTACCAAAAAGAGCAGAAACCCCTGCGCCGGAGGAGAGCCGGAAGCTCCCCGACCTGACCCCCAGAGGCCAATGCCAACAATAATAGGACTTTGGAAAAACAACAGTGAACCGAAGGGGCTACCACAAACCAAGGAGAGGAAAGATAAGAGAGCACCCTGACCAAGGACTTGGACATTTCAGGCGGCACATGAGAAGGCCGGAGGTGAAACAGAGCACGAGAAAGTGTACGGAATGGGGCGGATGTGACGTCCACCCTGAATGCAAGCTGAAAAGGCTCCACAAGCGCCACACGATATGAGGTAATAGTAAGAAGCATCAAATAACTGTCCTGAAAAACCAAGAAAGGACAAGACAACCTGATGCGAAAGAGAAGACAACCTACGAAGAGCAAGAAAAAGGCGAAAAGAAAAGCCAGAAAACTTCATACTGTTACTGTGACAAAGCTCGCAGGTGGGACACCATCAATGAAGCCACCTGATCACAATACAGATGGTGATACACCCGCATCAAAAGACCAGACGCAAAGAGCCGAGGAAAAGGCAGAACCAGCCACATACCAGATCGGTCCAACCTGCCGAAAAGGAGCGGAGCCACGGGAAACGCCCCGGCTTCGGACACCGATCAAGCAGTGTCTGAAAACAAAGCTGGGCTAGTCAGCAAGGTGTCACAAGGACTACTCTCCTTGGGAAGGACTCCAACGGGGCCAGAACCCGAAGCGCCAGCTGGACTGGGGGAAGAGGTACAGGTAACTCCACCTCGACCAATCCTGCCAAAAGGCATCCACCGCGAACCCCTCGCAGCCAGTGAAGGGCGCCACATAGAATGGGAAACGCCGAGACCACGCCGACGCGAAGATGTCCTTGTCGGGGAGTCCGTATGTCTAGCAGAGCGAACGAAATGAGTCAAAGACGACCGGCCAATCTGTGAACAGAGGAATGAACCGAGACAGGCCGATCACTAGGACGTTGGACACTCCCTGGACATGAAGCGCATGAAGAGCCAAACCCAGAGAATCCAGCAGACAAGCCACTCGAAGGGACCAACCCCAAAGGGGCAAGGATAGAAGATAACCCCTGTGGTTCCAGCAATGAACCACCGGAGAACAGTCCGAATGAAGTCGGATGGTAGAACCCCGAGTGACCCGAACACTCCGAAGCGCAAACCAGACAGCCACAAACTCCCGAACTGTGCTGTGAACCTGGAGAAGGGACGGACCCCACTGTCCCTAGCCGGCCTGGTGAACACCAGTCACATAGCCCTAGCCGAGAGACGATCTATCCGAGAACACATCGAGCAAAGGCTCGGAGAGGTACCAAGACACGAACCCCAAAAACCCCAAAGAGGAAGCTGGCGACGCAGCACCAACACAAGGTCCCTGGAAGACGAACCTAACGATAGCGAGAGAGGCGGAAGGGGTGTCCCTGAAGGAATCAAAACTGGCGCCGAAACCAATCCCGACCCGGGGGGTAGACCAGCATGGCGTAGTTCAGACCGGGATTCGGTTTCTGGCCTACCTCGACGACTGGCTGGTGTGGGCTCCCAGTCGGTCTGATTGTCTGCGCGCTAGGGGTGTGTTTCTTTCCAGATCGTCGGGTTCGGTTTCCTGGTGATCTGGAGGCCGTTCCATCAGGTTCCGTCTCGAGTTCAGACCTGGCTGGGTCTTGTTTAGGACTCTTGAACCGCTTCTTTGTCTTTCCCTCCAGAAGCGTTGCTGCGGCTGTGGTCCCACCTTGGGCTGTTTATGAGGGGATCCCGGGTCACTCAGCAGTTGCTCGAGCGGTTGTGTGGGAGTCTGAAATTCGTCGTGCTAGTCTGCCTATCGGGTCAGTTTTGGCTTCGCCGTCTATTTGGTTCCTTGGGGGACTTCCCTTCCGCCTCTCTTGCAATCGTTGGGTTCGCCCTCCAGGGATCTTGTGTTGGTGCTGTGTCACCGGCATCCTCTTTGGGGTTTTCGGGGTTCCGTGCCTTGGCGCCTCCCTAAGCCTTCGCTCGATGTGTTCACATACGGGTCATCTCTCGGCTGGGGCTTTGTGGCCAGTGCTCATCAGGCCAGTTGGGGATGTAGGGATCCATCTGTCCATCCATTGAGTTCACAGCCTGGTTCGGGAGTTCGTGGCTGTCTGGTTTGCACTTTGGAGGGTTCGGGTCACTCAGTGCTCTACGATCCGGCTTCCTTCGAACTGTTCTCCGGTGGTGCCTTGCCGGAACCATGGGGATTCACTTACGTCCCTTTGAGTGGCTCGCCTATTGGATTCTCTGGGTTTGGCTAGCCGTGCGTTTCATGTCCAGGGTCCTACATCTTGGCGGACGGCCTGTCTCGGTTCATTCTTCTGTTCACGGATTGGCCGGTCGTCGCCGACTCGTTTTGTTGGCTGTTGCTTTGGGTACTGGCTTGGTTGGAGTCCTTCCCAAGAAGAGTAGTCCTAATGGTCCCCTGCTGGCCGACCCAGCCTTGTTTTCAGACGCTGCTTGATAGGTGTCCGAACCCAGGGCGTTGTCCCGCAGCTTCACCTCGTTAGGCAGGTCGGACATGTCCTGTACGTAACTGGTTAGGCCTTCTGCTCGACTCTTCGCGTCTGGTATTTTGACGCTGGTGTATCACCATCTCTGTGGTGATCAGGTGGCTTCGTTGATGGTGTCCCACCTGCGAGCTTCGTCTCAGTGGCAGTAAGACATTCCTGGTATATCTATTCGCCATTTTCTTGCTCTTCGTAGGTTGTCTTCTCTTTCGCATCAAGTTGTCTTGTCCTTTCATGGGTTTTCAGAACTGTTCATTAATGCTTCTTACTGTCGCCTCATATCATGCGGTGCTGGCGGAGCCGTTCCGGCTTGCTTTCGGGGTGGATGTCACATCCGCCCCGTTTGGTACACTTTCTCGTGTATTGTTTCACCTTCGGCCTGCTCATGCGCCGCCTGAGCCGTCCTGGTCCTTGATCAGGGTGCCCTTTTATCCTTCCTCTACTCAATTTGTGGTAGCCCCATAGGTTCAAGATTGCTTTTCAAAGGCCATATTTTGTTGGCATTGGCCTCTGCGGGTCGAGTCGGGAGCTTCCGGCTCTCCTCCGGCGCAGGGGTTTCTGCTCTTTTGGTACTGGTGGTATGTTTGTACGTTTGCAGCCTTTCTCCGTCCTTCTGGCAACTGTCGAGACGGCTGTTTTCCGGAGGGATCCTTGGGTTATTGTTGCTTGGTTGGTTCGGTCAGGGGTGCGACATGTTTTGTCCGGTTGTGGCTCTTTGCCGTTACCTGCGTGCCATGGCTGGGAATGCGCTTTGGGTTGATCTGGTTCCTCTCATTCCCTGTTTTAGGGCTCAGGTCTCCCACGTCATCCGCAGGATTCTTACATCTACCAGCGCCCATACCTTCCTTGCGCCCATACTGTTCGAACGTTTGCAGCTTTCGCTGCCGTGTTTGGTGATGTCTTGGGCTCATTTCAGGCGCGAAGATTTGGGGGTCACACAGGTTCCTGGCTGCCCGTTCTTTTGTGAGTGTGTCTGCTCCTGTGCGTTCTTGTGTTGATTTGGGTTGCAGGTTGCTGCCTGTTGTCTCGACTTTGCGTTGCGGAGTTTGTGGCGGCCACCTCTCGGGTCAGCCCTTTCTTTTCCTTCTCTTTGGGTATGTAGCTCCAGGGAGCCATAGGGGCTCTGCACAGAAAACCAGCATTGAATGTAATAAAACGCCATTTTCTGGGCGAGCCCCAGAGGCTCCCTGGTAACCCTCCCTCCTACCTGTCGGCACTTTTTTCGTGTTGGTTGAAGCTTAGCTTCCGAACTGGTTCTAGGCAGCTGGCGTGGTAAGGTCTGGGGCCCCCCTCCCCATATCGGGGCGGGGAGGGCTGTGTGAATGAGCGGCACGACAGTAAAGTGTGATGTTTGCTTCTTTGCTTGTGTCCTTGGGACTGTAGGGAGTTTCTACCTCTCTGATCGGTTATTTGTTTTAGTTAGTTACCATGTGGGACTTGTTTTGTTATGCCTACCTTTCTGGGTGCCTAACCCCGGTCAATGGCAGTTAAGGATGGGGATGGAGGGGACCATTGCTCCCTGAAACCTCTCTGAAGGGGCCAGGTTCTGGCGCTGGTCCTTGGTAGACTTAAACTCCATAGCTAATGTTCCGGTCTAATGTAATATACATTAACCTGCTAAGCTCCAGGAAGCCTCGGGGCTCACCCAGAAAATGGCGTTTCATTACATTCAACGCTGGTTCTTTGGTTTAAATTTGCCCCATATTTCAAATGCCATATGGAGTTTTTTTTACAGTAAACTATACTGAAAACCTATATTCTAATTATATGAAAATGATGATCATATGCTATTCTGAGAGAATAATAACACCAAATAAACAATTAGTGATAGTTTATATCTTTTATTCTGATTTGAAAATATGAAGTTTTCAATATTGAATTTTAAAATTATTTTTTATTCTCTTGTTTTTCAAGTTACATTGTGATCATTTAGATAAAGTTGGAGCATTTACCTAGTTGAATATGCACAAAAAATTGGAAAGTGTTTATGCAAGTTTTAAAAACTTGGAGTTATGTCAAATCGTATTTGTATGTTTTGCGCGATTTAAGGGTTAAAGGTTAGGTGCTATGTCGCTTGGTGTAGCAGCCAGATCACCAACTACCAGTTAGCTCAGCATTATTTGGCAGTCTATTCGAAGCCTTAAGGAGGCTTTATTTATGTAGATGAAAGAACCTTCTGGAGGTCATTCTGAGCAGCAGCAAGAAATTATCTTCCTCCATTACCAGCCCACCTTGGGACATTTTGAAAAGATTCCTGCTGCATCAGGGAGAAAAGGTCAGTTGGGTTTTGCTGGTCATTTGTCTTGCCCTGAAGAAAGCAAGACACTCAAAATGAACAATTGAATTGGTTAAGATCATAAATACTGCACATACAAAAACCATGAATATCTCACTACATGGTAAAGCGAATGATTAGAGGCCTTGGGGACGAAACGTCCTCAACCTATTCTCAAACTTTAAATGGGTGAGATGCCGAGCTTGCTTGAACGCTGAAGCTTCGGCGACTAATCTGAGTATCTAGTGGGCCATTTTTGGTTCTTTATACCTTTGGTCCTAAATACCTTTTGGGTATTTCATTTAAATACAAGAGTAGCAATATGTACAATAACAAAATAATACAAAGACAACATCATCTTACAAGAGGGAAATATATTTAAAAACAAAATTTACCTGCAAATCTAATTTGAGGGAATCCCTTGATGGAACTTTTGCCTGAAGATTGCTGGAATTGCTAAGAGACTCTTCTAAATTTTGTTGGGAACTATACAGATCAATTAAATCTCTTGATTGCCGAGACACAGATTCTGAAAAAGTTAAGAACACATAAGAAATCAAAATCCAGCAGAGTACGTAATGACATGTCTCTATCTGGAGGCCCATTCAGTGGCTCTGCAATGCTAAATATTGGAAGGATCCGTGCCTTACCCATACACCATGACTTTACCATGGACCAGGACCAGAATCTGGCTCGCTCAATGATGCAGAGGTAAAGAAGGGAATCAGAAAGATCACAAAATTGAGCAAAATTCAGCTTTATATATAAGTTCGATTTTCCTGCCAAAGCCTCTGGGTCAACCAAGAAGACTCCCTTATTGGAAACTTTTCCCCTGGATGCCGCCTTTTCTTCGGAAGTGGTGGACGTGAAAGAGGGCTCTGCCCCGGGGCCTGTGTCAGGGGTTCTGGGCCTTGGGCTCCTCTAGCCCTTGCTTAGGTGCTGCGCTCCAGCCGCGGTGCACCAACTCACAGCTGTGGTTTGTTGCTACCCGGTCTTTTCATATGGCAGCTGGGCAGTTGAAAGTTAATAATTCTTTTCCTGCTTTTGGGGTGTTTTTCATTTAGTTAATGAGCTCTTGTTTTTACCTGTGACTCACCAGTGAGTCTTCTTACCAGTGTCCCATTCAATGGGGCATTGTTCTAAGTAATACAAATCCTACACAGGGAATAGAAAAACTGACTTCAGAAGCCTTATAAAGTCTGTCTGAAACCTGTTAATTTGAAAAAAGCCAGAAAGAGGTCCAACGCGGAGAGAGAACGCAGACGACAATACAAAAGAAAAAAAACGGAAATGCTTAAGCAGACACGACTTTCCATTCAAAGAAGGAATAATTTAATCAGGGAGATTGAGGAAATCAAGCAGAGACTGAAGAATTCATATCAGATTGAAGAAAGGCAACTAGACCAGAAAACAATTCAAGAAATAAAGAAAACCCAAAATATTTCTTTCCATAAGCAAAATCAACAGCAAAAACCACTGCTAGTATTGGACCTATTCATACAAGTGAAGGCTTAATACACTGAGCATGACAAAGAAATTAGTGAAATGATAAAAAAATAAAAAACCAGCGTTGAATGTAATGAAACGCCATTTTCTGGGTGAGCCCCGGAGGCTCCCTGGAGCTTATCGGGCTAATGTATGTTATATTAGACCGTGACATTAGTTATGGAGTTCAGACCTACCAGGGACCAGTGCCAGAACCTGGCCCCTTCAGAGAGGTTTCAGGGAGCAATGGCCCTGGAAAACCCCCCCTGTGGTTGGAGGTTTTCCTTATCTGCCATTGACCGGGCTTAGGAACCCAGAAAGGTAGGCATAACAAAACAAACCCCATATGGTAAGAAACTAAAACAAAAAACAAACAGAGGTAGAAACTCCCTACAATCACAAGGAAACAAGCAAACATCACACTTTACTGCCGCGCCGATCGTCCGCGCAGCCCTCCCCGCCCTGGGAGGGGGAGGGGGGAGTCCCGGACCTACCGCGCCGGCTGCCAAGTTCGGAAGCTAAGCTTCAACCAACGCGAAAAAACCGCCGACCGGTGGGAGGGAGGCTTGCCAGGGACCCTCCGGGGCTCATCCAGAAAATGGCGTTTCATTACATTCAACGCTGGTTTTCTGTGGGGAGCCCCGACGGCTCCCTGGAGCTTCATACCCAAAGAGAAGGAAAAGAAAGGGCTCACCCGGGAGGCGGCCGCCACAAACTCTGCAACGCAAAGCCAAGACAACCGGTCGCAAACCTGCGACCCAAGGCAACAAGAACGCCCAAGAACAGACGCACATAAGGATGGGTGGCCAAAAACCTGTGCGACCCACAAATCCCTGCGCCCGAAATGAGCCCGAGACGTCACCAACACAGCAGCAAAAGCTGCAAACGTCTGAACAGAACGGGCGCAAAGACAGACCACAGGCTGGAAGAATGAAAACACTGCGGACGACCTGGGAGACCCGAGCCCTGAAAACAGGGAACGAAGGAACCGGATCAACCACAGCGCATCCCCAGACACGGTACGCCGGCAATAGCAAAAAACACAACTGAACAACACAGGACGCACCCCCCGGCCAAACCAATCAAGTACCAATACCCCAAGAACCCCTCCGGAAAGCAGCCGTCTCGACCGTCGCCAGGACAGAGAAAGGCTGCACACCTATAAAGCTACCACCAGTACCAAAGAGCAGGAAACTGAACTGAAGGGGCTACCACAAACTGAGGGGAAGATAAGAAGGCACCCTGAACAAGGACCAGGATGGCTCAGGCGACGCATGAGCAGGCCGGAGGGGAAACAAAACACGAGAAAACGTATGAAACGTCATACTGTCTCCAAGACGAAGCTCGCAGGTGGGACACCGTCAACAAAGCCACCTGAACACCATAGAGATGGTGATACCCGCGTCAAAATACCAGACGCGAAGAGCCAAGGAGAAGGCCGAACCAGTCACGGACAGGACCGATTCGGCCTGCTGAAAGAGGCGAAGCCTCAGGAAAAACGCCCCGGGTACGGACACTTATCAAGCAGTGTCTGAAAAGAAGGCTGGGCTGCCCACCATGGAACCATAAGGACTGTTCTCGTGGGAATGGGCTGCAACCGAGCCAGAATCCGAAGCAACAGCTGGACCGGGAGAAGAGGAACAGGTACCCTCCACCTCGACCAGTCCCGCCGAAAGCATCCACCGTGAAGTCCTCGCAGGTGGGAAAGGGCGCCACAAAATGGGCGACGCCTAGACCACGCTGACCCGAAGACGTCCATGGCCCGACACAGCCAACAAAACGAATTGGCGATGACTGGCCAACCCACGAAGAGGAATGAACCGAGACAGCTGTCCGCCAGGACGCAGGACACACCCCGGACACGAACCTCACGGTTAGCCAAACCCCTGTGGTTCTGGCAAGAACCACCAGAGAACAGTCCAAACAGAGCTGAATGGTAGAGTACCTAGTAACCCAAACCCTCCGAAGCGCAAACCAGACAGCCATGAACACCCGAACCGTGCTGTGAGCCCAACGGACAGACAGACTCCATCAACCTCGGCCGACCTGGTGAGCACTGGTCACAAAGCCCCAGCCGAGAGACGACCCATCCGTGAGCACATCGAGCGAAGGCTCGGGGAGGTGCCAAGGCATGGAACCCCGAAAACCCCATAGAGAAAGCTGGTGACGCAGCACCAACACAAGATCCCAGGAGGAACCCAATGAATGCAAGAGGCGGAAGGGGAGTCTCCGCAGGAACCAACAGACGCTGTAGCCAAACCCGACTCCGCGGGCAGACAAGCACGCCGAAGTGCAGACTCCCGCACAACTGCCCAAGCAACCGCTGAGCAACCCGGGACCCCCTCCTGAACAGCCAAAGGCGGGACCACAGCCGCAGTAACACGTCTGGAGGGAAGACAATGAGGGGCCCAAGAGCCTCAAACAAGGCCCAGGTCCGAACCCGGGACGGAAAAAGATGGAAAAACCTCCAGATCACCAGGAAACCAAACCCGGCGATCTGGAAAGAACCATCCCCTGGCGAGCACACAAGCGGACTGACTGGGAGCCCACACCAGCCAGTCGTCGAGGTAGGCCAGACACTGAATCTCAGACTCAGACAGGGCACTAAGATCCGGTAAAGATGCAAAAAGTATACGAAGTGCCCATTACAAAATAGGGAAGGCAATAAAAACAGCAAACCTGAAGCCCCACCACCAACCGTGCTAGCCCCAGAAAAACTGGAGAGGAACGTGCCAAGAAGTGACCTGGAGGTCCAGGGCCACCATCCATGCACCCGGCCCCAACAGAATCCGAACAGGAGACAACAGTCCTCCGAGGAGGGCATAGGATCCAGGGCGCAGACTGAAGAAGTCCAGAAGAACTGCAGACGGGAAAAGCTCATGACTGCAAAGAGCAGACGGGAACCCCAGAAGGATGGGGCGGATCGACCACGCCCCATGCACCCCCGAAGAGGAAATGACAAAGCGCAGGGGAAGAAGCCCACCCCGCCAGCTCTGAACCCCCGAAGGGGGAGAAGCCGTCCTCCGACGCCAGCAGAGGCCGGAAGACAACACAAAGTGCCCACCAACAGCGGGACCATGCGAGAGGCAACAGAGCAAGCTGCTCCCCCAGCGCCCAGTCAACAGAGAAGGGAACAGAACCCCTTCCGAAACAAGAAGTACACTACCCAAGTCATGAGGAGAGACTACGGAAAGTAAACCACACTTCGCTGGAAGACGAAGAGTGAGGGGAGACCTGATCACCACATTCAAGATACCCAAGGGAATCGACAGGGTTGAGAAGGACAGGCTATGTAATACAAGGGGCACACGCACTAGGGGACACAGGAGGAAACAGAACCCAAAAGAGCCACAGAGATAGAATTTTTTTTTTTTTTTTTTTTGTCAGAATGGTAACGGGAAAGCACTAGGAAGTAATGTGACTCCACACACAAGTAACAAGGCTGACCCCCATACAATGTTACATGTAGACATGATAGAGCCCAATAGGCACAGGAACCTATACACCTGTTGATAGACGGTTGAGGGGCGGGACCAAAGAGCCAGAGCTCAACCCCCGCAAGCACAACTAGGTGAGGACATATATTGTAAAAGTACAAGTCGCCGACTAGTGGGCAGAGAGCACCACGCCGGCCAGGCAAAGAAGGCACAAAACTGCATCAAAAGGCCCACCTCGACAGCAAAACCGCAAAGTCCCAGCACAACCACAACACGTGCCAAGACCCAAAAAGATCAGACTGCAAGCCAGGGAGACCCCGGAACCCCAGAAGGCAGAACCGGGTCACACGAGGAAACAAAGTCCCCTGAACCCACAAAAGGGGGCCCAAGAGGAAGAAACCTCCAGAACGAAACCAAGGAACCCAAAGGAACCCAGAACCGAACCAGGGGGAGCCCAAACCACCACATTTGCCGGCGGAGTACACCACTGAAAGGCAAAGCACAGCCCCCAGCAGAACCCCCTGGGAAAACGGTCCCAACAGACCGAAAACCGAGGGAACAAGGTGTGGGAGCAAGCATACCAGCCAGGGGCACTGAGCCTAAACCCAAAGGCTCAGACCCAAAACAGAAAAATTGGAAAAACCTGTTGTAAAATCAACACCCAAACGTTCCCAGAGGAACAGGCAACGGCAAGAAAACACCAGAAAAACAAAGAAACAACAACAGGAGAACAAAAACCCTGAAAATTTTTTGAAAACTCACCCGAGACGCTCGCTCGCACACCCAAACGCATGTAAACAAACCGCAACGCCGCCCTGGTGGCCACGCCGTGAAACCGGCAGACGAAAATGGCCGCCAGCAGGGGCTGTGACTGACGCTAAATACACAAAAACACGCCAGCAAATGTGGGAAGCTAACAGACTGGATGGGCGAAAAACGCCGCCCAACAGCAGAAAAACCCCGGCAGGGGCAAAACCGCCCCAGAACTGCTAGCAGGCAACCCCCACAGCCCCGGGAACCAACAACAGAGGCCCCGGGGCAGAGCCGTCCTCCAAGCCCTCCGCCCTTAAAGAAAAGCAAGAGTCCATGGGAAAGGCAACAAGAAAAGGCCGCTGGTAAGACCCAGAAGCCTTGGCAGGAGGCACAGGCTCAAACCTCCGTCCCCAACCCGAATGGGGCAGCCCCCGAAAACCGCCCGAGTCTCTGCCCCAACGAAACGCCGCCCCGACCCCGAAACCCGCAGGCGGTCTGGAGCCGGGAACATGGAGGAAAAGGGGCGAACAGCACCTAACCAACCGGGGCGGCGAAGGGGCATTCGAGTGGGAAACCAACCTAGCATGTTGCAGCAACCAAACCAAGCTTGCAACACGGATGCCGCCTGTACTCTGAACAGTAATAACATCAGGAGAGTACTGGAGAACAAGCAGAGAATCACTCGCAAGACTCCGGGTCAAGGTGTCAGTGACCCAACAGGCAGCATGACAGAGGTAAAAATGGCGACTGTCACCCGGAGACAAGGGAACAGCAACCAACAATCCCGTACAAGACGGGTTGGAACCCGGAAGACACATTCAATGGTCCCCCGACCCAGACAGGGGTTTCCAGGGCCCGTAGGGTAACATCTACGGGAAGCCTGGGCAAGGTGTTGCTAACCGGTTAAGAAACCCGAACATAACAAGAGGGTAGATTATAGTACTGAAAACCCCTGAGACGTGTACAATCACGGGGGCCTAGCAGAGGGCCGCCAAACACTACCAGTGGAACTATAACCACCTTAGGCAGACCCCCACCAGGCATGAAAAATTAAAAACAAAAGAACAACCCCGCAAAAGTACACCGTCTCCAGAGGCAACAGAAACCGGCCACCGCTTAGGTGGCAGGCCGTGCAACACCCTGATGCCCTAACCAGCACAATACCAATCCCTACCCAGGGCCAAACAAGGGCCCCAAGCCCCAGCTGGCCCCAAGGGTGAGGCAAATGCCGAGCAGCAAGAACCTCTATGGGAATGGTTCCCGAACGCCCCAGGGAAGATAACCCTGTTACGCAAGGGCAGTACTCACAGGGCGCTTAGGGAAGTCAGCCACTAAGCACATGCAGCCCCGGCACTGATGAGGTACTCCTGGCCACCGCACAACACAACACACGGCAGTGAACTCCACACAAGGCAAACACCGCCTAGGAAACTGAGGCCAGAGAAGCGTCAATCCCGGTTGACATTAGCGAACGAACTGGAGCTTGGCAGCCGGCGCGGTAGGTCCGGGGCTCCCCCCTCCCCCTCCTGGGGCGGGGAGGGCTGCGCGGACGATCGGCGCGGCAGTAAAGTGTGATGTTTGCTTGTTTGCTTGTTTCCTTGTGATTGTAGGGAGTTTCTACCTCTATGTTCGCTTTTTGTTTTAGTTTTTACCATGTGGGGTTTGTTTTGTTATGCCTACCTTTCTGGGTGCCTAACCCCGGTCGATGGCAGATAAGGAAAACCCCAACCACAAGGGGTTTTCCAGGGCCATTGCTCCCTGAAACCTCTCTGAAGGGGCCAGGTTCTGGCGCTGGTCCCTGGTAGGTCTGAACTCCTTAGCTAATGTCCCGGTCTAATATAACATACATTAGCCGGATAAGCTCCAGGGAGCCGTAGGGGCTCCCCACAGAAAAACAGTGTTGAATGTAATGAAACGCCATTTTCTGGGTGAGCCCCGGAGACTCCCTGGAGCTTAACAGGCTAATGTATGTTATATTAGACCGGGACATTAGCTAAGGAGTTCAGACCTACCAGGGACCAGCGCCAGAACCTGGCCCCTTCAGAGAGGTTTCAGGGAGCAATGGCCCTGGAAAACCCCTTGTGGTTGGGGTTTTCCTTATCTGCCATCGACCGGGGTTAGGCACCCAGAAAGGTAGGCATAACAAAATAAATCCCACATGGTAAAAAACTAAAACATAAAACCAAACAGAGAGGTACAAACTCCCTACAATCCCAAGCAAACAAGCAAACATCACACTTTACTGCCGCGCCGATCGTCCGCACAACCCTCCCCGCCCCGAGAGGGGAAGGGGAAACCTCACCACGCCGGCTGACTAGCATCAGTTTGCTAGGTTGAAGCTTAGGAAGCTAAGCTTCAACTAATGCGAAAAAAACGCCGACCAGTGGGAGGGAGGGTTGCCAGGGAGCCTCCGGGGGTCACCCAGAAAATGGCATTTCATTACTTTTAACGCTGGTTTTTTGTGGGGAGCCCCTACGGCTCACGGGAGCTTCATACCCAAAGAGAAGGAAAAGAAAGGGCTGACCCGGGAGGTGGCCGCCATAAACTCCGCAACGCGAAGCCGAGACAACAGGCTGCAACATGCAACCCAAGGCAACAAGAATGCACAAGAGCAGACACACACATAAAGGACGGGCGGCTAGGAACATGTGCGACCCTCAAATCCTTGCGCCCCCAAATGAGCCTTAGACGTCACCAACACTGCCGCAAAAGCTGCAAACATTCAAACAGCACAGGCGCAAGGACAGACTGCAGGCTGGAAGATTTAAAATCTCTGCAGATGACCTGGGAGACCCGAGCCCTGAAACAGGGAATGAGGGGAACCGGATCAACCCAAAGCGCATCCCCAGACACGGTACACAGGTAGCGGCAAAGAGGCGCAACCGGACAACACAGGGCACACCCCCAGCCGAACCAATCAAGCATCAATAACCCAAGGATCCCTCCGGAAAGCAGCCGTCTCGACCATCACCAGAAGGACGGAGAAAGGCTACAAACGTACAAACCTACCACCAGTACGAAAGAGCAGAAAACTCTGCACCAGAAGAGCTGGATGCTCCCCGACCCAACCCGCAGAGGCCCAGGCCAACAAAATATGGCCTATGAAAACCAAACTTGAACCGAAGGGGTTACCACAAACTGAGAAGAAGAAGATAAGGCATTCAAAGTATAGCCTATGAAAACCAAACTTGAACCAAAGGGGCTACCACAAACTGAAGAGAAGATAAGAGGGCACCCTGATCAAGGACCAGGACGGCACAGGCGACACATGAGCAGGCAGGAGGTGAAACAAGAAAAAGGTGCATAGAAACACCAGGAACGTCATACTGTCGCCGAGACGAAGCTCGCAGGTGGGACACCATCAACGAAGCCACCTGATCACCATAGAGATGGTGAAACCTGCGTCAAAATACCAGATGCGAAGAGCCGAGGAGAAGGCCGAACTAGTCACGTACAGGACTGGTCCAACCTGTCGAAAGAGGCGGAGCCGCGGGAAAATGGCCCGGGTTCAGACACCTATCAAACAGTGTCTGAAAATAAAGCTGGGCCGGCCACCAAGGGACCATGAGGACTGCTCTCCTTGGAAATGGACTCCAAGCGAGCCAGAATCCGAAGCAACAGCTGGATCGGGAGAAGAGGAACAGATACCCCCACCTCGACCAGTCCTGCCGAAAGGCATCCACCGTGAACGCCTCGCAGGCGGGTAAGGGCGCCACATTGAATGGGTGACACTTAGACCATGCCGACTCGAAGATGTCCATGGCCAGGAGTCCATACATCCGGCAAAGCCAACGATACGAGTCGGCAATGACTGGCCAATCCGCGAACAGAGGAATGAACTGAAACAGGCTGACCGCCAGGACGCAGGATACACCCCGGACATGAACCTCACGGTTAGCCAAACCCTGAGAATCCAGCAAACGAGCCACTCGAAGGGACCAACCCCAAAGGTCAAACACCTAAGAGAAACCCTGTGGTTCCAGCAAGGAACTGCCAGAGAACAGTCTGAATGGAGCTGGATGGTAGAGCACCGAGTGACCTGAACCCTCTGAAGCACAAAACAGACAGCCATGAACTCCCGAACCATACTGTGAGCCCGACGGATGGACAGACCCCACCATCACCGGCCGACCTGGTGAGCACTGGTCGCAAAGCCCCAGCCGAAAGATGACCCGTCCGTGAACACATGGAGCGAAGGCTTGGGGAGGTACCAAGGCACGGAACCCCGAAAACCCCAAAGACAAAGCTGGTGAAGCAGCACCGACACAAGATCCCGGAGGACGAACCCAACGATTGCAAGAGAGGCAGAAGGGGAGTCTCCGAAGGAACCAAACATGATGAACCCCTGAGAGCCGAAGGGGCTCTCCAAAGAAAAAACACACCTTCTCCAGGCCACTTCAGCTAAACCATAAGAGGTCTGGACTTTTTACTTCTTCCAAAGCAGTAACATGACACTGTTGTCTTTCCAAAGGAAAGACAATGTACAAAGGAAAGATAATATCTTTCCAAAGGAAAGACATTATCTCTGTTTATCTTCATGTACACAAAGCCTTATACAACAAAGAACGGGGAAGACAGGACACCACAAGTGTAGCTCTCATCTTGTAACTACAGTTAGGTAATTACACTTAGATAATTACAAAAAAATTGTTGTAAAAAAACTTACGTGTGATAACAATGTCAGGATTTTGTACAGTAGGTGTGTCCAATGTGTGTGATGGACGGATCTTCAGATCTTCTTGACTAACTGCAGAAAGCAAAGGTTGTTGCTCATCACAACTAGGATTTCCATCACTACCTTCACAATACACAACTTCCTTCTGTGTGACAAATCAGGATACCACTGATTACTAAATATAAATAAAATTAAAATTAGGATGTAATATTTTATACAGTTCTACATGTTGAAATTAGGTACAAAAGTACAGAAAATGCATAGAAATAAACAAATGCATGAATTAACTATTTAAGAGTATGGTAATATGAATTTTGTATCAGACCAATGCTCAGTGTATTAGTGGCTTTCGGTGATCTACCTGCCTACCCACGAATTCAACAATCTGCTTATATCCTATGTATGTATGTATGTACTTTTGCCTAAATAAAATGTTTATGTTTGTTTTTTTATATTTCTGGGAGGGGGTCCTTCGGCAGCTCCCAGCCCTGCTCCTTCACACCAGGCCCTTCCAAGTCACTAAAAGGGTAATGGTGACCAGCAGCCAAAACCTGGAGCCAGATTCACGAAGCAGTTACGCAAGCACTTACAAACTTGTACATCTTTTCTCAATCTTTGGCGGCACTGTTTACAATTACTAAACAGTTAATGAGCTCCAAAGCACCAGGAGGCTGTTTATAGCAATAAAAAACCAGCGTTGAATGTAATGAAACGCCATTTTCTGGGTGAGTCCCGGAGGCTCCCCGGAGCTATCCCAGGCTGATATGCTAATGTCAGACTTTGGCATCAGTCATGTGTATGGAGTTCTTAGGCCTACCGGGGACCACGGCCAGAACCGGGCCCCCTCAGAGAGGCAAGGGGAGCAATGGCCTATAGAAGCCCCCGTGTAGTTGGAAGCATTCTATGTCTGCCATCGACCGGAACAGGCACCCAGAAAGGTAAGCGCCCCAAAACAAACCCCTATTCTGGTTAAAATTGCTACCTAATACCGAACTAGTGGATAGAACTCCCCAACCGAAAACAAGCAAATTAGTGTGACGTCACACACTGCCGCGCCGCTGTCTGCGCAGCTCCCCCCTCCCCGGGAGGGGGAAGGGGGAGCCCCAGACCCCCCGCGCCGGCTACCCACACCTCAGTTCTTGAGGCTGGATGTCAAAAACGCGAAAAACCGCCGACCGGAGGGAGGGAGGGATGCCGGGGAGCCTCCGGGACTCACCCAGAAAATGGCGTTTCATTACATTCAACGCTGGTTTTCTGGGGGGAGCCCCGTCGGCTCCCCGGAGCTAACTACCCACAGACAGAAAAAGAGGGACTTACCCGGGAGGCGGTCGTCGCTCACCCCTCAACTCGAAGCCGAGACAACTGGCTGCAACCGCTAGACCTAATAACCCTGCGGACGACCTGAGAGACCCGAACCCGCGAACAGGGAAGAAGGGAAACCGGATCAACCCACAGCGCGTCCCCGGACACAGAAGCTGTGGCGCGCAAATAACGGCGAAGCGCCGCAACCGGACACAAAACATGATGCACCCCCGGCCTGACCAACCAAGCATCAACCACCCATGGACCCCTCCGGAACGCAGCAGTCTCATTCTTCGCCAGAAAAGAAGGAGACGGCTGCAAACGAACAAAACTATCACCACGACCAAAAGAGCAGAAACCCCTGCGCCGGAGGAGAGCATGAAGCTCCCCTACCCGACCCCCAGAGGCCAAAGCCAACAAGAAAAGTGCCTTGGAAAAACAATCCTGGACCGAAGGGGCCACAACGAAACGAGGAGATGAAAGGAAAGCGAGCACTCTGTCCAAAGACCAGGACGGCTCAGGCGACGCATGAGCAGGCCGGAGGTGAAACAATGCACGAGACAGCTTGCGAAACGGCGCAGACGTAACATCGATACCGAAAGCAAGCTGAAGCGGCTCCGCCAGCGCCGCACGATACGAAGCGACAGTGTTAGGCATAAGATGACGGTCCTGAAACAACCACGAGAGGAAGGACAAGACCACCCGAACAGACAAGGAGCTAACACGACGAAGACGCAAAAAGAAACGGAAGGACCGCCAGGAAACTTCATACTGCCGCCGAGAAGATCGAACCAGCTACGTGACGTACCGGCCCGATCTGCTGAAAGAGGCGGAGCCGCGGGAAAACCCTCGGGTTCGGACACCGAGCAACCAGCGCCCGAAACCAAGGCTGGGCCGGCCACCAAGGGGCCAGAAGGACAACTCTCCCCTGGTAAGTCTCTAAGCGAGTCAGGACCTGGAGCAACAGCCGAACTGGGGGAAAGAGGTACAGGAACCCCCACCTCGACCAGTCGAGCCGAAAGGCATCGACCCCGACGGCCTCGCAATCGGGGAAGGGCGCCGCATAAACGGGAAGACGCCGCGACCACGCCGACGCGAAGAGGTCCACCTCGGGGCGCCCGAACGTCTGGCAAAGCCAACGGAAGGACTCGTCGTCGACCGTCCACTCCGTGGAGAGGGGAACGAAGCGAGACAGGGCGTCGGCCAAGACGTTGGACACGCCCCGTACGTGAACCGCCAGGAGAGCCAAACCCCGAGAACTCAGCAGACGAGTCACCCGAAGCGACCAACCCCAAAGAGACAAGGACCGCATCGAACCCCCGCGGTTCAGGCAATGAACCACCGGAGAGCAGTCCGAATGGAGCCGAATCGTCGATCCGCGGGCCACCCGAATCCTCCCCAGAGCAAACCACACTGCCGCGAACTCCCGCACCGTACTGTGAGCTCGACGGAAGGACGGATCCCAACGCCCCTGGCCGGCCTGGTGAGCACTGGTCACAAAACCCCAGCCGAGAGACGACGCATCCGTGTACACATCGAGCGAGGGCTCGGGTAGGCGCCAAGGCACTGAACCCCGAAAAACCCGAAGAGGAAGCCGGTGACGCAGCAACCGACGCAAGTCCCCCGGGGGTCGAACTCTGCGATCGCGAGAGAGGCGGAAGGGAGAACCCGAAGGAACCAGAACAGCCGTCGAAGCCAAACCCGACCCGGCGGGTAGACCACCATCGCGAAGTTCAGGCTCCCGCACAGCCCCTCGAGCAACCGCCGGGTGACCCGAGGGCCCTCCAGAAACAGACGAAGGCGGGACCGCAGCCGCAGGAGAGACTCCGGAGGGAGAGACAAGGAGGCGGTCCGAGAGTCCCACACGAGACCCAGCCAAGTCCGAACCTGAGAGGGAACCAGATGGGACTTCCTCCAGTTCACCAAGAACCCGAACCCGGCGAGCTGGGAAAGAACCAAATCCCTGGCTAGCAAGCAAGCTGACTGGCTGGGAGCCCAAACCAACCAGTCGTCGAGGTAGGCCAACACCCGAACACCTAGGAGACGCAAACGAGCCACCACAACCCGTGTAAGGCGTGTGAACACGCGAGGTGCCAGGTTCAACCCGAACGGGAGACAACGAAAACGGTAACTCAGACGCCCCACTACAAAACCGAGCCAGTCCCTGAACCGCGGATGAATCGGGACATGCCAATAAGCGTCCCGGAGGTCCAGGGACACCATCCAAGCACCCGGCTCCAAGAGGAGCCGAACCTGAGACAGCGTAGTCATCCGAAAGGAGGGGCAATGAACCCAGGGGTTCAGACGGGACAAGTCCAGAATGAACCGCAGGTCCGCGCAGTCCCGTTTCGGAACCGGAAACAGACGGGAAACCCATCTGAGGGACGACGTCGTTTCGACGACGCCCAAGCGAACCCACTCCAAGACGACTCGACAGAGCGCAGGGGAAGAAGCCTGCCCCGCCAGCCCCGACCCCCCAAAGGGGGGAGGGGCCACCCAACGCCACCGCAGGCCGCGAGACACGACCCGAAAGGCCCACGAATCGTGGGACCAGGCGCGGGCGAACAGCGCAAGCCGCCCCCCCATCGCCCCGTCAAAGGGGCAAACCGCGAAAGGGCCGGCGACCCTTACGAGACCCAGAACCCCGCACAGCGCGAACACCGCGCCGACCAGACGAGGGAGGGTCCGCAGGAGGAGCCAACCCCAAACCTGACACCAGAGGCCTACCACGACGAGAGGAACCCCGAGCCCTGGCACGACCTTTCCGGGAAGACCCACCCCGGGACCCCCGGAAAACCAACAAGTCCGACATCGGACGACAAGCCGCCGACGCAGCCTGAATAAACTGCGCCACGGCCGACTCCCCAAACAGGAGAGGACAAAAAGGCGAAGAACGCCTAAGAGCCAGAGCCCAAGCAGATTCCACGGAGGAACCCAGCACCGCCTGCCGACACGCGAGACGGGAAGCATAGAACAGGGAAACCGCATCCCGCAAAATCGGCGTGAACAGCTTCAACAAGGCAGCCGACGAACGCGCAGCCGAGGACAAGGTGCCGGACCCCGGGACGGACCCAAGCGTCCCCACATCCTCCACGAGCCAATCCGAAGACAGCTCCAGGAGGGAAAAGAACCGCAAGGCCGAACACAAAAGGCCCCGAGCGCGCAAGTCCTCCGCCACGAGCGCCGCCGAAAGGGAGGGAACCTGCACATGGAGCTGAATAACGCCCACATCGCGGGGAAGGGCAGGGGCAAACAAGCACTCATTCAGGTACTCAAGTTCACCCCCCAGGAAAACCTGAAGCACCGTGGAAGCTTCCCGCCACTCCAGCGTGCGGGAACGACAGAAGGAATGCCAGGAATCCAGACCAAACAAGGGGCAGTCTGCTAGCCAGGATGACTCCGGAACCTCGTAACGGAGCCAGAAAGGGAACGAAGTCCCAAACCTGAACGTGGACGGATCCATTTCCGAGGCATAATCCGGGTCACGCAGGAGGTAAGCTGCAAAGGCCGCGCGCACCACACCAGGTTGGATGCGATAAGCCGAAAACCTCCTGAAGGACGGAACCGACGTACCCGGGGGAACACGGAACCGTACCCGGGGAGGGGCCGACACCAAATCCAACTCGTACGCAGAGGGGGGGAAAGAAAACCCCACTCCTTGTAACAATAAGCCCCGCTCAGTGGGAAGAAAAACCCAGGCGGGGTCCAGCGGGGCCCAAGGCCCCCAAGTCAGCCCCTCCCCAGCCTCGAGGTCCGTCACCACAGGACCCGAGGCCGAGTCCTCTCCCCAAGCCCCGACCCCACAAGACAAGGACGGAGCAGCCGGAAAAGCTGGAGGAAGGGGGGCCCACTGGTCAGACCCTGAAGCTTCGGCCGGGAGACAAGACTCGAATGCCTCTGCCGCCCCCCCGGAAGGGGCAACCCCTGAAGCTGCCCGAGTCTCGAGATCAAGTAACCCCTGCTCCAACCCCGAAACCCTCAGACGCTTCGGGGCCGGAAGCAGGGGCGGGGGACCAGAACAAACAGAAGGGGAAGGACGAGGAGGTGCGGACTGAACCAGGATCGAAGCGACCCCCACCCCCTAGTCCGGGTCTCGAAAAGCAAATCGGGGCAGCCCCGGGGCATCCGGGGAAGCAACCAACCAAGCGCGTTGCAACAGACGAAACCTAGACTGCAACGCACGCGCCGCCTGTACCCGAATCTATTCGGGTACATCAGAGGATTGGGTAAATTGAGTCACAAGCAAGCAGCAACACTCACAGGACTCAGGGTCGAAAGTATCACCGACCCAACAGGCAGCGTGGCAGAGGCAAAAACAATGAGGGTCACCCTGAGACAAGGGGACCGAGCAACCCTCAAACTCGCACACAGAGAGTGGGGACTCCGGGGTCACATCCATCGGACCCACGCGCCCCCTAGGGGATTCCCAGGGTCCTGAGCGCTTACTTGAAGAGGACTCGCGCTCAGGTAGTCCCAGGCAGGGTGCTGCAAACCGGCGCCCAAAACTACCAAGCAAACTTCTAAAGCTGAACCCCAGGGACGTGTACACTCACGGGGACCTAGCAGGGGGCGCCACCGAGGAGAACAGTGGAAGGGCAAAAACAAACTGAATAAAATGACAGAACCCCCCACCAGGCAAAAAACAAAAAGAAAAACAAAACCCCGCAAGAGGACAGCGAACCCCAAGGAACAGAGCCGGCCGCGATGTCGGGAATTACAAGCTGAGCAGCACCCTGCGCCCCTACCAGTGCAAACTGCCTCTTACCTGCCGGTAACAAGGGAGAACAGAACACCCAAGAGCCCAACAGGCGGCCGAAAAACCGAAAGGTAAAACGGACCAGCAGAGGCAGACCCCGAGGAGCCTGTGGAAGGTGGCCCCAAGCCCCAAGGGCAGTACTTACAGGGCACCTAGGGAAGGCAGCCCTAGGCGCATGCAGCCCGAGTACTGAAGATAACTCCTGGCTCTCGCACCCACAAAACTAACACCACACTCAAAGCACAGTGCAGTAGCGACACCGGAGCCAGAGCACACGACCACCGCCAATAGCATCAGCCTCAAGAACTGAGGTGTGGGTAGCCGGCGCGGGGGGTCTGGGGCTCCCCCTTCCCCCTCCCGGGGAGGGGGGAGCTGCGCAGACAGCGGCGCGGCAGTGTGTGACGTCACACTAATTTGCTTGTTTTCGGTTGGGGAGTTCTATCCACTAGTTCGGTATTAGGTAGCAATTTTAACCAGAATAGGGGTTTGTTTTGGGGCGCTTACCTTTCTGGGTGCCTGTTCCGGTCGATGGCAGACATAGAATGCTTCCAACTACACGGGGGCTTCTATAGGCCATTGCTCCCCTTGCCTCTCTGAGGGGGCCCGGTTCTGGCCGTGGTCCCCGGTAGGCCTAAGAACTCCATACACATGACTGATGCCAAAGTCTGACATTAGCATATCAGCCTGGGATAGCTCCGGGGAGCCGACGGGGCTCCCCCCAGAAATAAACACTATTGTTTATAACAATAACAATTTAAACAGTTGATTGGGAAGTTTTCATGCTTGTAAACTGATTAATAAATGTAACCAAAGCTGTCCAAGAATGAAGAAAGATGTACAACATTCGTAAGTACTTGCGTAACTGCTTCGTGAATCTAAGTGATGCAGAAAGCATGGGGGTGAGGAGATCACCCTGAGAATATTGCCAACAGAAAGATAATGTGATAGTGGGTCTGTTGTGCCCACTCTTGCAGGGTATGGGTTTGAGGGATGCTCATCAGTTTTCCTATATGCCAATGGTCATTCATTCTGCCTCTGCAGGCCCCCCTCTTGGTTTGTTTATACAGTACTCCCTGTCACTTCAATTGCTTCCAACCAGTGTCCTTTGTTTTGTAGGGTTCCTGTATCTCGTTTTCTTCACCCTCCCTACTCTTTCTTTCCCATCTGTCTCAGTGGGAGTGGCTGCAAATCCTCTGCCAGAAGGGCAGAGGATTTGCATGACGCTGGGTCAGTGGCAGGGCACGTTTTGTCTGTGTTTCCCTACTGCTCCTCCCTTCTTTCCCCTGGTAAGTTCTGTTTTCTTTATGCTTCAGGGCGAGTTAGATTGGAAAATCACTGATAGGAAATCCTGAATTGAATGTAATGAAGTACCTCTTTCTGGTGGGTTCCCATGGTGACTCCCATTCTTGGCCATCCCTCCTAACAGGGGTCTCAAAGGTCATTTTCTGCAATGCATGTCTGAGAAGGGCAGCTGACTGGAGCCCCGGGTTGTCAGGGCTACCAGCTGGTGGTGACTCAGTGTAACTAGCAATTGGGACTGGACTATGAGTGTGTACATGCAGTTGCTTGTTTTGGTGCACTATACCTTTATTGTGGCTTTTTTCTTCTTGGCCTGGGTTGATCTAGTATCCCCAAGTTCTCTTGTCTCTATTGAGGGAATCAGACTGAGCTTTTATTCCTCTTACATGCTCAGTGCTTACAAGAGCCTGGTGGGGGTGTTTTATACTTGCAACTAACTAAGAGGGTAGCTCAAGGAACCACAGGAAGGACCCACCAGAAAGAGTTTTATTACATTCAATGCTGAATTTATCACTTATAAGACAACTTTTAAGAACCCTTATTAAGGTCAGGGAAAAAGGTCATTAGAGCCTAGTGAAGTGACATTGTCCTGGTAATCCAATGGTTCTTGATTCAAGGAAACATCTATGGGGCCTTAGCTATGAAAATACATTTTAATATATTCCATATATCCATCCTATATACATTTGCCTACTATGTGTTACTATTCCCTGCTGAAGAAATGCATGGGAAGTGCTGTAATGTTGTCCATAAGGATAGTAAAATATTCATCTCTATGGGAAAACTGTGTCAGTAAAATTATTTACATGAATTTAGAGACAGCTCTATAAGAAATACTCAAGAAATGTGTAGATATTAATTGAAAATTATCTACTTCAAAATTTTTTAATCACATGTCCCTAGTATGCTAACTGTAGGTAGTAAATGCAAGTAACTGCAATCTTTCCATCACTGTCCACTGGATGGGAGAGAGGTGTGCATGACGAGAAAATCCAAGTATAAAACAAGTTCACCACATAAGTAAGTTACTTAACTAAGAGTTTGTACTTGTGGCTGTTCTCGAACTTATTATTGATATATCTTGAGGTTATCTTGAGATGATTTCGGGGCTTTTTAGTGTCCCCGCAGCCCGGTCCTCGACCAGGCCTCCACCCCCAGGAAGCAGCCCGTGACAGCTGACAAACACCCAGGTACCTATTTTACTGTTAGGTAACAGGGGCATAGGGTGAAAGAAACTCTGCCCAATGTTTCTTGCCTGGGATCGAACCCAGGACCACAGGATCACAAGTCCAGCGTGCTGTCCGCTCGGCCGACCGGCTCCCGACCGGGATATAATAATTAACTAAAAATTGTGTAACCAGTTTATGAAGAGTGTAACTTGTTTAGCTAAATGAATTTTAGGACTCGGTTCCTGAGCCTATTATGTTCCTCTTAATCTTTTCCACTACCGCCCACAGGATGGCAATGGGATGCATAATAAATAAACTAGACTTAAAACTACAGGCAAAAGTTTGAACCCTCTTTATAAACAGATTACTGCACAGCCCAGTACAATTCTGTATTGCAATTACAGTAACTAAAAAAAAAAAAAGTGACTCACAGAGTTAGACAGAGTAGGATGTAGCAGTGCTATTTGGATGTCTTCATCTGGCAGTGACTGAGGAGACAAGACAGGAGTCACAAGACGACAAGGAAGACCATCCATGAAGCGCACGTAATGGTCTATCATTGACTCTAATGAAGCAAAGCATGGACCATCATCAATGCAAAACCAATCCTGAAAAATTCAAAGAAAAAATTATGGTTCATTGGCTACCTTTACCAAATCTCCATCTACATTCTTCCTCCCTCTCTCTCTATCCATCCCATATTTTTTACCTCTCCATCCCTAATCAGGAACAAGGGAGGGTTCCCAATCATATGTGGCATTCTACCTAAATCAGTAGATGGAAATGAATAGCAGTCCAAGACGATTAGTTTTATTTGCCGACCAGACACATATTGCAAGACCACTGCAATATAATTTACTGACAACTGGGAAAACTTGTATGGACAGAATGAAATTCAAGAAAGGGATTGGGTGCACTTAAACAGGGAAGGAGCTGCAGCTTTTGGCTGTTTATTGGAACAAAATTTTGGTAATGATTATCAAGATTTAAGATGCTAGAAAATAGAGGTATGAGAATGTATTGAGACAGGGAGGCAATAAACAGTTGTATTTTGAAATAACTGAAGAATAAAGATGTTAGAAAAACACTAATCAATTATGTTTAACAATCAACTTCCTAGCAGAACACACTGTAGAAGGGGTAAATGATACCTGGAGAAATTAGATGTAGCAAAAGTAGTAGAACTGGACCAGGTATCCTGTTATTACAGAGTCCCTGGAGGGAAGCTCCAGGGACTCTGTCTTAACCATTAACCCTTAAAGTGCGCATCATGTCATATGACGTGCTGGACGTTGTTCCAGTCAACTGCGCATCACGTCATATGATGTGCTGGAGTACAACGCAAGATTTAAACAGCCCGCGGATACACGGGGTTCACCACACCTTCATCAGGGCTCTTGTAAACAGACGCCATTTTTTTTAAAAATCGTGGGCCAAACTCCCAGGTGTTATTGGCCTCGGTATTGAGTGAGCAACCAAGCCTGACGCACGCAGCATGAGCTAACAGCACTGCTGTTCAGCTTGTGACCACAGCATCGCCTAAAAATACCAAATTATACTTGTTCATGCTATTATGTAGCGATGATATTATTACAGAAGACCCCTGACTGTGATAAAACTGACCAGGGTTCTGATAATAGCAGGATTGTGGTGATATTTAGCGCTGTGCGCCATGGAGGGAGGAGTAATGCTGTGGGAGGGAGGGTGGTGGCGATGTCTTTTGACTGTTTGGCCACCTTTTATTGACTGCACTCAGCATACCAGCTTAGTGGTTCACTATGGTGAACACAAATGTAGATACTTATATATAACGTGTGTATAGAGGGTATAAACAGCAAGAGAAGGCTTGGAGCCGCCATTTTGGTGAGGGTGGTGGCGTCGTCTGCACGACGCCACCGTGCAGACGACGGTGTTGTTTATTGGTTACCATGATGGTCTTTGGGCACCATACCAGTTTATTTGTACAAGTATGATGAATAATCTGGTAGATATTTATATATAATGTGTGTATATAGCGTAATAACACCACACAGTATTGTTGGAGGAGAAATATTAGTGCGTCTGGCCTTGAGGGCGGCCGCCGATCAGCTGACTGTGAGTAGCCACATCTCTGTGCCTTTACTCACCATACAAGCTTAGATGTACAGTTATGGTGAACAAAACATGTAGATACTTATATATAACGTCTGTATATAGTGAATTATAGCAAAAACATTATTGTGGGAGGAGAATGTGGGTGAGTCAGATGACTGAAGGGAGGGCGGGAGTGGCTGGCTGGTAAACGGTGGTCACTCCTCGTTACTTTTTGACTCATAATAGCTACTTAGTGGTTCGTTATAGTGAACAAAACATGCAGATACTTATATATAGCCTGTGCTTATAATGTAATAACCGACAAAGTATTTGTTCACTGATTGATGAACATAATTGAATCAACAATATGCACACCATATTTTTGAGTACAGCAATGATTCACTCATTTTATTATCTAAATATATCAAACTACACACTATTGAATAATATTACAGCAAAAAAAAGTATGAAAAATCAATCAGAGACATTGAAATAATTCGGTAATTATCTCTTTGTGGCAACTCCGGCCTGACAGCTTGCGAGCAACAGACCACCTGGGACGCACGCTGAGTCAGCGCCTATAATTTGCCAGACTTCCCCGCCCTATAGCGGGCAATATATGCCACTTACGATTTTTTTATTATTTTTTCCCGTGATCAGTGAACACAAATTAACAGGTTAGGAAGAAAAAATAATTTTTTTTTTTTTCAAAATGACATGCGCCTATGGGGATGACAGGATATTAAACCCCGAGCATGTTAAGGGTTAACTAGAGTTTTCAACATAACACTAGAAAGAGGAGAGCTCCCAGAAATCTAGAAAAAGACAATTGTAGTTCCAATATTCAAGAAAGGAGACAGGCATGACACACTAAACAACCGACCAGTGTCACTAACATGAAAATCATGCAAAATACTGGAAAATGTCATAACGAAAAGAATAGTGGATACATGAAGAGTAAATTTTGTAATGGGGACAAAACAGAATCAGAGTGAAAATCATGCCTAACAGATGTGATCAAATGCAAAGACAGAATCTTCCAGACTACTACCAGAAAGCTTCTGATACAGTTCCTCATAAATTATTAATACACAAGATGGAGAGATAAGTGGGAATAACAGGCAACACATTGAACTTGGTAGGGAACTACCTGATGGGCAGGTAACAAAGAGTAACAGTCAAAGATCTTCTGTCAGCATGGAAAGGAGTGGAAACTTGTATTCCCCTGGGATCTGTCCTAGGACCACTGCTCTTTCTAATTTATGTGAATGACATAATATATGTCAATGTTTGAAGATGATGCAAGGTTAATTAGGAGAGTAAGAACTGTAAGAAGACAGTAAGACCTTGAAAAATTCCAGGAGTGGACAGATAAATGGCTGCTGGATTTAATACAAAAAACCAGCGTTGAATGTAATGAAATGCCATTTTCTAGGCGAGTCCAGGAGGCTCCCCGGAGCTTACTAAGCTGATATGCTAATGTCAGACTTTGGCGTCAGTCATGTGTATGGAGTTCTTGTGGGCCTACCGGGGACTATGAGCCAGAACCTGGCCCCCCTCTAGAGAGGCAAGGAGCAATGGGCTATAGAACCCCCGTGTGATTGGAAGCATTCTATGTCTGCCATCGACCTGGTTAGGCACCCAGAAAGGTAGGCGTCCCAAAACAAACCCCTATTCTAGTGAAAATTGCAACCAAAGACCGAACGAGTGGATAGAACTCCCCAAACGAAAACGAGCAAACTAGTATGACGTCACCCGTCATCACACCGTTGTCTGCGCAGCTCCCTCCTCCCCAGGAGGGGGAAGGGGTAGCCCCAGACCCACCACGCCGGTGACCAACACCCCAGTTCTGAGGCTGGATGTCAAAACACACGAAAAACCGCCGACCGGGAGGGAGGGAGGGATGCTGGGGAGCCTCCGGGACTCACCCAGAAAATGGCGTTTCATTACATTCAATGCTGGTTTTCTGGTGGGAGCCCCTACAGCTCCCCGGAGCTAACTACCCACAGAGGAAAGAGAATAGGGCCTTACCCGGGAGGCAGTTGCCGCTCACTCCTCAATGCGAAGTCGAGACAACTGGCTGCATCCGCCGACCCAAAGCAACACAGGCCCAACTGGGCCCCAGGAACATTTACAAAGTAACGAGCAGCCAGGACCCTGTTCGACCGCCAAAATCCCCACGCCCGAATGTCAGCCCAGGACATATTGACAATGATGGCGGCAAGAGCCGCGAACTTGCAGAGGTCATGGGCACGGGAATAGACTGCAGGCTGGCTAGCCTTAATTATCCTGCGGACGACCTGGGAGACCCGCACCCTCGAACAGGGAAGAAGGGAAACCGGATCAACCCAAAGTGTGTCCACAGATACAGAAGACGTGGCACGCAAATAACACCGGAGAGCCGCAACCGGACACAAAACATGATGCACCCCTCCGGAAAGCATCAGTCTCATTCTCGCCAGAAAAGGTGAAGGATGCAGACGAATAAAACGATCACCCCGACCGAAAGAGCAGAAACCTCTACGCCGGAATGCATGAAGCTCGCCAACCCGACCCCCAGAGGCCAATGCCAACAGGAAAAAGAGCCTTCGAAAAACAATCTGGAACCGAAGGGGCCACAACAAAACGAGTAGAAGAAAAAAAAAGAGAGCACCCTGTCCAATGACCAGGACGGCTCAGGCGGCGCATGAGCAGGCCGGAGGTGAAACAACACCCGAGACAGCTTGCGAAATGGCGCAGACGTGACATTAATACCAAAAGCAAGCTGCAGCGGCTCCGCCAGCGCCGCACGATACGAGGCAACAGTGTTAGGCATAAGGAGACGGTCCTGGAACAACCAAGAGAGAAAGGACAACACCATCCTAACAGAAAGCGAAGCACAGCGGCGAAGACGCAAGAAGAACCAGAAGGACCGCCAGGAAACTTCGTACTGCCGCCGAGATGAAGCCCGCAGGTGGGACACTAATAAGGAAGCCACCTAACCACCATAGAGATGATGATAAACTCAAGTAAAAAATAACATACATGAAGACTCGAGGAGAAGATCGAACCAGCCACATGACAGACCGGACCAATCTGCTGGAAGAGGTAGAGCTGCGGAAAAATCTCCGGGTTCGAACACCAAGCAAGCAGCGCCTGAAACCATGGCTGGGCCGGCCACCAAGGGGCCAAGAGGACAACTCTCCCCTGGTAAGTCTCCAAGCGAGTCAGGACCTGGAGCAACAGGTGAACCAGGGAAAAGAGGTACAGGAACCCCCATCTCGACCAGTCCTGCCAAAAGGCGTCGACCCCGACGGCCTCGCTGTCCGGAAAGGGCGCCATATACAAGGGAAGGCGCTGCACCACGCCGACGCAAAGAGGTCCACCTCGGGGCGTTCGAACGTCTAGCAAAGCCAACGGAAGGAGTCGGCGTCGACCATCCATTCTGTGGAGAGGGGAACGAAAGGAGATAGGCTGTCCGGCAGGACGTTGGACACGCCCCGGACATGAACCGCCAGGAGAGCCAAACCCCAAGAACTCAGCAGATGAGTCACCC